CATGTCATGGCAGGAATCCGTTCGAAGAGCTAATCGATTGGATGGGCACGTGAGGAAAGAACCTCCAGAGACACAAGAAGCCATACCAAATAAGAGACAAAGAACTCTTTGAACCACAAGTAGTTGCAGGACAAACATATCCTCCTTCGTTGCCTAATCCACAAGCTCAAGCCATCCCGGTCCAAGGCTCGGATTCGAGCGCCGCCTCAAGCTCGCATGGACTCATGACCCAAGTTCATTTTGCTCATGATTCCGGTCAACAAGCGGTTTCCATGTCAGCAGTGGATGGTGGAGATGATTTTGTTCTGTGTGTAGACATCGAAGAAGATCCAGTGCTTCTAGCTGGAGGTAGGAATGAACTCAACCGAAGAGATGAGAAGTGGTTGAAACCCGAAGGTCGCCAGAAGCTCCTCGACGGTGTTCGTAAGGAAATGCATAATGTAGTTGGTAGTTGAAGATAAGCAAGCCTTACGACCGGTATCAATTGAGCAGTCAAGAAAGATCAAACAATCAGAACCGGATAGGATTGTGCAAAGTAAGCTGGTTCTAGTGCAAAAGCGAACGATGAAACAGGCAGCCTGATCTGATTGCTCTCATACGACAAGGGAGCACGCAGTCTCCGACCATTTCGCCAAACGGCAGATACACAGTCCAACACACAATTGCCAGCCACAAATTCTGCATGCAGTTAGGTGATGTGACTGGTGCTTTCTTTGAATCCGACGAGACGGAAAGAGGTACAGGCAAACTATATATGCCCCTTCCCAAAGAATTATGCCTTGCCAGACCATAGCGCAGAACAACCGTTTGAATTTGAAGTGATCAAACCAATTTTTGGTCTCAATGATTCACCACAGAAATGGCTCACACAGTTTGACGATAGCTTTTGTGGATCAGAGCTCACGCAATGCAATCAAACAAGTGCAATCACTGTCAGCCAAAAGACATTTGCAAAGAAGTTGGAAAAGCCAAAGCTCAGGAACTGTGAATCACCCACCAGCAGTAAGGCCAGGAGCCCCTAGTAACGTCCTTACTCCTAGTAGTAAGGCCAGGAACCGTGAATCACCCACTAGTGGAGGTGACACCCAAAAATGCATCATAGTTGAAAGGTGTTGGATTGTTGGGTGGAGCTCTGTGGCTTGCTCCAGAAACTAGGCCGGATCTTGTCGTCCAGGTGAGCCAAGGTCAACAAGTGTTGTCCAAACCGACAACTCGGAGCAGCTCTGCTAAGCAGTACAAGAAAATGTTATGGAAAGTCCTTCCAATCCCAATGTCCGACATCCGGTTGTGTTTGTGCACCGATGCAGCTTTCGCTAATGCAAAGAAACAGGGAACGCAAGCTGGTTTTTTGGCAGGGGTAACTAATGACGACTTGCAAATGGGTAAGCCAGCTCCGTGGAGTCTGTGTGTTTGGAAGTCTTATCGACTTCGACTTTTGCTGGGGCATGCAGAGTGGCTAGCGTGTGATCTTGCAGAAGCCAAGCATTGTGACTTTTCACTTGCCACTCGTAAAGAGGTTTTAGCAGAATTCAACCTCCAAGCAATGATAGATTGTAAGAGAATCTATGATCACCTCCAGAACTTTGCATCTCCTCCTGGAAGCGTGGGAGACAACCGGGTGGCGATCGACTTGGTCATCGTGCGTGAAACATTAGCTCCGTGATTCGATGGGCCCCAACATGGTTGCAACTAGCAAATGCCTTGACTAAGGAATCACCCGAGGCCATGGATTTGTTAATATGACCACACACATATCATTTGAACAGTGAAAGTTCCATGATGGAAGCCGCAGCCAAGCAAAGACAGGGTTGGAAAGGTGATTTCCAGAGGTGAGGCTCAAGAGACCAAGACAGAAAACAAAGTGCTCTTTGTTCATCACCACCGTGACACCATGGTGAAGGTTGCCGTGGAGAAGATTTCGGACGAAGAGATTCGAGCGCTCTTTGAATGCATGGTGAGCGCATTCTTGATTGATGGTGATGAATATGTGAAGTGCATGAACCAACCATGCTCCATGTGCAAAGCCAGGGTTCTGGCAAAGTATGTCACTGGAAAGCAGTTCGGAGGTGAGGATGGCCTGTTGACCTTTACATTCACCAGATTCAGGGAAGTGCAACGATGCTGGACAAAGCCGAAGATACTTTGAAGAAAGTCCTGGCAGTGTACTCGATCGTGCTTCGCGGTGGAGAGGTGCAGTCGTTGCCGGATGGATGCCAAAAGTGGGGAGGAGCAATCAGGGAGAGCCTTGATTGCGGATCCATTTCCATGTTCTTGGAGAACCAACGTGCTGGCGAAGAGAAGACCGAATCATCAGTGAAGACAGAGCTGGTGAAGAAGCAAGTATTGGTGCCTGATGACGAGGCATTTTCAGCGGCAGTGGCAGATTTGTGCAATGATGGTGTGCGCGAACTGCACCATTATGCAGCATGGCGGAACAAGTTCCTACAGTTTATGCTGCAGGAGTTCAACGCTTCGACAGATCAGATCCTTGAGTTGTCAGAGTTGGCTGAAGCCATGCATGAGCAGGAGGCAATGGATCAATGGCACCTCGAAGAGGGTCCGATGTCGGAAGCAAAGCCCAAGGCCAGATTCGATGGATATCGCCCGCAGCCACGATCTCAAGCCAAGAAAGATTTTTAAGCTGTGTGAAACCAGCCAAGTAGACCATGAGGTCATGACGGCATTTCGTCGCGACTTGGCCATGGGAGCGTGAAATAGCTGCGGTGCGACGAAAGAGTGGCTTTCGTTGGTTGAATTGACATTGTCACAGGTTTGACTTCGTTGTGCATTGTGGTTGTTGGGCTGCCAGTTTCAACTTCCGTTTGAATCTGCGCCAACTTATTTGTCTAAGCCCTTCTGGCCGAAGCTTCAAGTGAAGCTACTGAGCTACTGAATGGACGGATATGCCCAATCTTGTGTCCACCCACAACGATCTTACGATCTTGCCAAGCTCTCTTACCAGTAGCTTCTTGCTCCAAGTAGTAATGCCAGGAGCCCCTAGTAGCTTCTTGCTCCTAGCAGCGATGCCCTTTGCTCCTAGTAGCCTCTCTCACACATGCTTGTTCCTTCGCAAACTGAAAGGTTTCTTTGGTCTCTATGAGACTGTCAGACAGGTGGCTCCTGTCCTGGCCTCGTATGTACAAGTATGCACAACGTTAACACCCAGCAAGTGCCCCATGGATGGCGGTGGCTGCTTACGCCACGTGTTTTCATCAGTCAGGTGGTTGGTACCGCAATCCCATAATCAATACTTGCCATCAGGGGCCGCACTGGTTGCAACCTCCAGCTCTTTGCCGATGGGTTTGGGTCAAAGTTCTCGCATCCAAAAACCCATCATACGCACAAAGGATGTTGCCACTCCCGCCCCCCAAAGTGAGGTGGGCATGTTTAAAAACGCCGGCTGCAAATCCCTAGGAGCACAAACTGTTGGCACATCACATCAAGATCTCTTGACTTTTGGTTTGATTTTCCTACGCACAGCCACATGAAAGCCTCCTCAGTGATTTGCAATCTATACTTCTTCGCCTATGCTCGACATAGTCAAGCTATCTCCAATGCATCCCGCTCAACAAAATCATCTTCGATCGATTCCTTCAGAAACGGAAGAAGCTGTCGACAGGCAAATGGGAAAACAACACCTCACTGGATTTCTATCACTTTCTTCAAGAGTAACAAGAAGCAAGTAGGAACAAGTGCATCGCTACTAGCAACAAGTGCCACGCTACTACTTGAGACTCTTTGAGTGTATGTCACTTTTCGAGTCACGAGTCACGTTTGATGGAAAAACTGGTTTCTTAAACAGCGTCACTCGTACCTGCCCAGTGATCCAATTGGAACAAGGGATCACCTATAACGCCCAACCAGCTTTGCTCCAAGCTGAAGCCTTCCAAGCAGGTGGACTGAGGGCAAAGTGTGGCAGTCTGAAGTCACCTCTTGGGGTGCAAAGTCAGCGCGAGGAACTAAAGGAGAACTGGAGTGACGAACTCAAGCAATCTTTCACTGTGCTGACTTGGGCACGGCAAGCCGGGAAAGGAAACAGCAATTTTCTGCAACTGTTGCTGTGACTTGAGAGGTACTGCAGAATCCTGCTGGACAAATCTGTAGCAGTAGCAACTCCAATCTTGCAAGCACCCCAAGAAGACGTTGACTGCCACAATGACAAAACTGACCTATAGAGGCCCAAACCGCACTTGGCGGTAATGGGGCAGAATCCCAACTGGTGGAACTCCAAACCGAATCGTCAGGAGCTTCTTCTACGTGGCAAAAATGCACAAGACTCTTTCACGGGCTTTCTTAGTCAATAAAACCATTGCTTGGGTCAAAGAAGGTCAAAGAAGACCTATGTTTTCTGGCTAGAAGAAATCAGAACGGCTCGTCCCCATGCAGCCACCAGATCTGGATATAAAAAGCTGCAACCAAAAGTGCATGCCCCTGCCAGATGTGGTGAATTATGCAAAACGACTGCGACTCCGCTCGAAAATCCCAGCTCTTCACGTCTCTAAGCCTGAGTTGTCGTTGCGAAGCGGTTGCTCCGGTTTTAGGCAGTGTGGCTAAGCCGTAAAACCGAGGAAAGTGCGATTCTGAGACTGTGATCTTCCTCAAGTTGCAGTGGGGAGGAGAACTCCACTGGAAAACAGCAATGAACAAACACATGCATTTTACAGCAAAAACTATTTAAAAGGATAATAACAGGTTCTTGAACCAAGGCACTCGATTCAAAGTTTATATGCGAGAGGGAGCACTTGAGGCAGGAACGTTGCAATTGGAAGCGCCGCGCCTAGCCGATTTTGAGCAAAGGAACTGAAGGTGAACTGAGAAGCAACAAACAACACTGTCCCATTGCCCCGTGCCTACAAGCACAAAGAATCCCGCGCACAAACGGAGCTTGATATCTTTGGGCTGGCCTTGGTAGGAGTGCTTGAGCATTTGCTGCTGAATGAAGGCGATGCGATGAAGCTTCTATTTTGCATTGCTATGGCCTTCAATCGCTCAACCCATGCTCAACCCAATGAAAGCTTCTTGGACGCTTGGATCAAAGTTCCCTTGAGGGGTGAATCTTCATGAAGCTCGCAAGAATGTCTGGAACACAAATCGTCCAGGCCACAAATAGCAAGATATGTGAGGCTGGGAAAGAACAAGGCGTTGAAGCTGGTGATGACCTCAGCAAGACCAACGTCAAAGCTGGTTCAAAAGTTCGGCGAGTCCAGCCACAATGGTTGGATCCAATTTTGCATCAAAGTACATGGTCAATTTTTGTCTGGTCATCTTGTTGCTACTTGAATGTAAAAACAACCTTGAATGATGCTGGAATCTTGACATCAGGACTTTTACTTGCAAGACTTGCCTGGCCCCGTTCGGCAGCTTAAACTCACCCGAGGACCCTGCGCAGCCAATGGCACCTCAGTACGGCTGCAAGACTGGCAAAAAACCTTGAAAGGAAGCGGCACCTTTTTAACTGCCAAACTCATGCATCAAAGTCTTTCCGACCAAGAGAAGGATGCTCAAAACAAAACAAATAGAGCACAAACAAACACAAGCATCACATCTAGTGATCTGACACCCAAGATGCTCTCGAAGGCAGCGACATAGGGAGACAGCAGCTGTGATACTCCGGCCACTGCCTAAGACCCAACGAGTTGTTAGGTCACCACGGCCTCCAACCTAATGGCAAACTATACTAGACCTTTCTTCCTTCTTTTCTTACGCTCTTTGTTTCTAACATTCTGAAACTTCCTGTGAGCTTCCTTTCTACTCCAGTCGAGTTTTAAGACTTAATGCCACCGTGCCCAAGTCGCACAAAGCAAGGGAGCCGTCACCAGCACAGACTTGAAACCTCCATTTCCAGCCGGCAAGTCCACACCAATCCTCAGCCAAGCGAGCAGTGAAGGGCCAGCGGGTTCGTGAATGTATTCTGTAGAATGATATCCAATGATATTAAACGTCCTCTAGTAACAAGTGCCACGCTACTAGGAACAAGTGCCTTACTAGTAGTAACAGGTGCCTTACTAGTAGTAACAAGAAGCTATATAGTAGTCTATATCCAGAACTTCTTCCCTAGGTGCAGACTGGACTGAAGCAAACACGGATGACCGACCCTTCTGTCTCGCCGTCGAGGCTCTGCTTGCCGAGCAGTCGGACCGTTGGCCGTGAACTTGGGATCACAGAACCAAACAACTTCACCTCAGGGCATCGCTACCAGTAACAAGGGCATTACTAGGAACAAGAAGCTAGTAGAAACAATATATATATATATATATTAAAGAAGGCTACTAGGACCTTTTCGCGCGCACACGCGCAAGGGGGGGTAGGAGCAAGGACGCTACTAGGGGCTCCTGGCATCGCTACTAGTAACAAGAAGCTACTAGTAACTAGGGCATCGCTACCAGTAACAAGGGCATTACTACTAGTAGCTAGGAACTACTAGTAGCAAGGGCATCGCCACTTCATTAGGGAAGCGTTAGCTGCTGTCTTTTGTCTCTGAATTGTGTACTTCTTCCATCAGACTCTGCCTTGAGAGAAAGAAAGGCGGACGCACACCTTCAAATTTGATGCACCTGACAAAAGCTTTCCGTGAAATCTTCAGGTGGCACTCCGTCGAGGGGCCAGCACCCAAATGCCACCAGTCTTTCGCATGGCCCCACCGCCTGCTTCTTTTCCGATGGGTCGACGGATCGATTCAGCAAGTGAGGAGCTTGGTTCAAGTATTGCCCTCAGTCATACACATTCTGTAAAAACGAGGGCATTTTGTAGCTGGGCAACACTCCGACAGGAAAGCGGTCAAAGCAATCCTGGTTCATTCTGAAGATGCAAATTCCGGCCAATGTTGTCCTCAGTTTGTGCGATTGTTAGATTTGAAAGCTGTGCTGTCAAAAATGCACGAAAAAAAACCCAAGCAAGCTGAGTGTCAGTGATCAACGGGCGGAGAGAGTGCCCATACCTCAAACACACCATGCCACCTAGCAGACCTAGCAAGGTTCCCAAAACTTGCCTCAACTCCGCAACATCGCGCAGTTCTCTGTCCCTTATTGTAGCTTAAAGTACCTATTTTGCAGCTTTTGTCTAAAGCATCCGCCTCTGCAAAGCCAAACCTATCAAACCTCTACGAAGCGGGGCACATGTAGAAGGCCATGCCGCCCGCCACAATGGCGAAGATCGAGAAAAAGGTCCAGGACAGCCGCAACGCTGATCTGAGTAGCGAAGCAGCTGGAGCCAACCTACTTACTAGCTTCTTTCTAAATCCAAGAGGATGTTCAAAGAAGCCTCCAACCTGCTCGCGATGGCCTCCAACCTAATAGCGATAGCCTCCTGTGCTTTTAAAGACATCCTCATACCGGCTGTATCCCTACCTGACAAGTAGTGACTACTTTCTGTTGAGTCGATTACCATCTTCTCCGTCTTCTCTTCTATATATCTTATATTCGTTTCCTCCGTGAGTTCTAACCTTACTCTGCTCATTGATGTGTGCATCTTCATTTCACACCCATGCTGTGGTTTGCTTGCTTCAAGTGGTAAAGGTGTTGAGTGTGTGTACTGACCAGTTGTTGTCACTTAGTTCTACGACGAGTCCATCTATATCCTTCACCTTTCCCTTCATATGTCATATGCTTCTACTTCAAAAACAAACTCGAATTATTTGTATGACCTCCTGGAACCTAAGCAAGGTCTGTTCTGGCCCTCGGAATCAAAGCTGGTCAATTCAATTGATGTTTCGACAGGCTGTGAAATGTCCATTGCTGCATGAAGTCAAGCTAGTGATTGGTTGGTGTCAAGTTGTTGGACCTCCTCAAGTTTCCAAATCTCAGCTTCAAAATGTACACTTTGATTTTTGCTTTCATGTCTCTTGTCAACCACTCCCCCATCCCAGACCGGCCTGTACTCATGCCGCGAGCGCGTGCTGTGCATTACGCAGGGGATCAGGGGATGCCTCACAGCTGAGAGCTTGCTGGAAATGAGTTAAGGTGCTCGAGGAATGAGCCGCGTCACGCAGAAATGCGAGCAACATGATGTGCCTTTGCATTTCTCAGGTCATCAAACGCAGCACTTCTTTACTGAAGGCCATCGCTATTAGGTTGGAGGCCATTGCTAGTAGGTTGGAGGCCAACGCTCCTAGGGTGGATGCTCCTTTTTAGATCTACAGCACCCCCTCCAGCTTGTTGCAGCAAGGCACGCCCCAGCCGTGAAAATGATGACGGCCTTGGGAGATTCTGTCAGCTTCGCGCTGTAACACTCGCTGTCTTAGGTGGTCTGAGGACCCGTCTTTGTTGTCGTGCATTTCCTTTCGCATTTCTTACGCTATTCTCTCCACCGGATCTGGGGTGAACTCTTGGAGTCAACTTGGTTGAATCTCAGACTCACAGCTAGCAGTGTCCGTGGCCGAAACTAGGCGGCCAGTGTAGGGGGCGTCCTAAGTCCGAAAGGCCTGCTTGGCCCAGATTTTGCTGGAGAATGTGTGAATCCCAAGTGGCAAAGGAGGCGGGCATGTAGCTGACATCACTGACCAAGGTGGAGGGTTGAGCCCAGGTCTCAAACTCCTTAGCGCGACGGGCGGACTGGTCCAAGGTACTGACCTCAGTCCACCCTCTGTAGCCTCTGTACCACCAATGCGGAAGGGATACTTTATGATACTTTATATTTCATGCGATTACAAGCCACTGGTTGATAGGCATGTGGTCATCCAGCCAAGTGATTCTGGCTTCAAAACCAAACCATCATTCTCAGGACTGAAAACTGCAACACCTGAAAGCGGCAAGATCCCTGGTCGAATTCGTCGAGACACGGTGCCCCAAAGCAAAAGACTTGCGAAGATGGCGACCATTGAGGTTGTGGACATCAAGGCGCAGTATGCGAAGAGCCGATCCGAAATGGCGGCCAAAGCAACCTGAAAGCGCTCAGCTACGAAGAGCCTTGTCTTGAGCGGCAACCCTATGGACAATGCTTGCAATGGGCAATGTTATGTTGGTCAAGCCATATTCTGGGGATATAAACTTACCTGTTGCTGGAATGAAAGGCGATAGTTCTTGCTTTCGCAACAAACAGTCAAATCGGGCCAATGAACAAACACCTCGAGGGGACCAGAATGAAGCTTGTTTGCTGAAACTGTATTGGGTCTCAGTGGCATTGATGTTGACCATGCATCCAGATTTCTGAGAACTCTTGCAACGCATCATGCGACCAAAATCCGTAAGTACAAGCGTGCCCGCCCAGCGCCCCATGTTTTCTTGTGTGGGTGGGTCGGAGCTTCAGGGTTTTCTCAATGTATCTTCCATGTTTCCATGGCATACCATAGCACAACAACATCTACCGTCTCTCCGGAGTTGGCCAGTTCTTGAGATATTCATTCCCACAATGTTCGCTACAGTACTAGGAACAAGTGCATCGCTTCTAGTAACAAGTGCCTTACTAGTAGTAACAAGCAGCACAAATGCCACTGGAGATGATCATTGCTTGAGGCTCTGTCAGGGAGGGCGCTGTGGCTGCGAGGCCTCAGGCCAACTCAGGTGGATCCAGAACGAATGCGGCTTGCCATGGCCTTCGGCCTCCAACCTACTAGCGCCATCCTAATAGCGATAGCCTGCAACCTACGAGCCATGGCCTCCAACCTACTAGGGACGGCCTCCAACCAATTAGCAGCTTGCCATACACACAGCACAAACAGCTTGGCATCTTTTCACACCATTGCTCTTCAAAAGTGTAGGAAGTCACATATGTGTGGAAGCTCCTGGTTGGGATAAGTTGGGATCACTGAGCCGTTTTGTGAATTTGTTGCGGAGACCACTGTTCATGCATGGGAAAGGTTTGGTTCTGAGAGTCCTGGCCGTTTGCTAACGCGATGAGGTTGCAGCACATGTAGCCGACAATCTCAATCTGTGCAACCACATGGGCGATCCTTGAATGTTTAGTTCCAGCGGCGGTGAATCCGACCAAAAGAACTAGCAGGACGAACGAGCTCGATATGTGCCCTCCATCTTCCAGCTGCAGATGTTGCAGAAGGCGCCACCAAGACTCAGATTCACCTTCCCACCCTTCAGCGTTTTCCCTCTGATCCTTCTTTGGTCTTGCCCAATCGGGTCTGGGACGCAGGATTGTCCTCTTAGCAAAAATCCTATAGAATTTCCCAGGTCTTGCTGAGGCCTAACATATGTGCAGACTTTTAGCCTTTGGTCCTGAGACTTGGGACACGCCACACTGGAGCCTGTTTCAACACCAAACCTTAATTCCAAAGCCTTTTCCACAAGGACCTGTTCCACAGGAACAGCCACTTGAAATCTTAAGGTGAACAAGTGGCCCTGCCTCAGAACTACTACGGAACCTGGGCTCTTTCCAGAACAAGCACCACAAAACGCCTGTGCCTAGGCCTCTGATGCTTGCCAGGTAGCACAGCGAAGCGGGCGCCGATGGCCTCCCGCGCCAGGTCTGGGAAGTCAGGCAAGGGGATGCCTCTCCTGCACCGAGGCACAGCGAAAAGCGCAGTGAAGAAACGAAAACCAAACCAAAAGGAACCTCAAAACCAAACCAAAGGAACCCTTGCTCCTAGTAGCTTCTTGCTCCTAGTAGTAAGGCCAGGAGCCCCTAGTAGCAAGTAGCGATGCCCTTTAGTGCAACATTCAGAACTGGATAAGCAGGAATCCCAACACTTGCTTCCCAACGAAGTTGGACGTGTTCTTCAACGCTTCCTTTGCGTCGGTCCTGACCAATGTCACTAAACCTGGGTGAAGCGATGCCAGGGTTGCTCAATGGATGATAGCTGGATGAAGTTTCCCTAAAAATCTAGGAACCAAATCATTAGCGTGAGCTATCCTGCATCCTAGCTAGGAGGGAACAAGTTCCTAGTAGTGTTGAAGAACACGTCCAGATTCTTGGATGTACCTTGCAACCTACTAGCGATGGCCTCCATGTTAATAGCGATGACCTCCAACCTGCTTGGATTCTTGGATGTACTCTGCAATGGTCCGTTGCCCTTTGCTAGACTCCCCTGACCCCAGAAGGAAACTCTCAGGAAGATGACACACACACAAATCACCTGCTGTTATGACTCGTTGAACTGAGATGTCCAAAAGCCACAGCGCGGCACATTTTCCTTTTGATTGCTTTTTCTTCCTGTGAGTGGCCTACTGTTTGGGCAGCAGGAGCATATAAAGGAACGTTTACAGGCTGGGTGACTGTTCTGCAAGAACAAGGCCGTGCACGCACATGAGGCACCCGCGAAAGCCATGAGGATGCCTCACCAGCGAAAGCAAAGACCAAAAAGAGCGAACACGAACATATCTCCGACTGAGTCTGTTGAAGGCAATCAGGAGAGTATATGACAATACAGGTCCCAAATCTGAGTTGCACTTCCTCCGCCCGACTGCAGGACTTTCCGTTTAGACCATCAATCACCATTCAACACAGTTCCGTCCGGTCAAACTCATTGCGCATGAGCTCCCACGTTCCACGCGCCCTGCCTGCTGACCAGCCGTGCCGTGCAAAAAGGCAGGGCAGTGTCAACAGTCCAACATTCATCGTAAAGTTCACCACTGTAAAGGTGGCCTCGGCCCCTGTCCTCAGATCAAGTCGACATCGATCACGGTTACACTGGGAGTTGGCTTGTCAGGTTGCGAGTATTTTCTCCGTCGACCTTGCTCAGTACCCCAAGCACCTTGAGCACGCGTGCACCCTTCTGGGTGGCACCTTGCCGAATTCTTGGTTTGGAGTAACAATCCCCCCCACTACTGTGAATAATCATCACCTTTCTTCCACCACTTGCATCAACCCCCATCAACCTTCATCAACCCCCGGGTCAGATGGACTGAGAGCTGGGCATGAGGTTGTTGTCCTCCATACATCTCCCTGTAAAGCAGAAAAGGCGAATCATGTGGCTTGGCACCTTGTTACAAGTAGCATTCTTGCTCCTAGTAGTACGGCCAGGAGCCCCTAGTGGCATTCTTGCTCCCAGTAGTACGGCCAGGAGTCCCTAGTAGAGTTCTTGCTCCTAGTAGCACGGCCAGGAGCCCCTAGTAGCGTTCTTGCTCCTAGTAGTACGGCCA